ACACCCACCCCACCCTGCCCCTTCCAGGAGTCCCCATGTGGCCCGTTTTGGATGCAGGTAAGTGCAGGGCGCCATTGGAGGCTCCAGAAGGGCAAAAAAGGGGCCTATCGGAAGTTCAGTAAAGCCGGAAACAGGCCCATTTCTGGCCTCCAGGAGGCCTCCGGAGCCTGGGGTGGCTGTTTTTCCCCTCCCGGAGGCTCGAAGAAAAGTTCCAGAGTCTGGGGAGGGCAAAAAGCCTCCCCACCATGATGCAGGAGTCCAACTAGGCCACGCCCACCCAGCAACCAGGAAGAGAACCCCTTGCTAAACGTTTTGAAGCCCATCTCTGGTATATCTATGTCAAACTACCGGCCCGTGGACTGGATGCCTCACACACAGGCCACGCCCACCCTGGCTCCGCAAAGAAAAAAATGTCGCCATACGTCACATGATGGCAATGTGACGTGACGGGTTTGACACCCGTGCTGTAGGATAATAAGATATACCAAATGATGTCTATGTAAATCATAAAAATGGTCTGCTTCAGAAGACCCCTCAGAGGTGAATCTCTCTTCTGATCTCTATTTAAGACAGGGGTCCCCAACAGCAGGGCCGTAGCACACTACTGGGCCTTGAGCCATTCATGATTGGGCCATTGAAGTGGCGGGCGAGTGTGCACACATGTGTGCATCCCCATACCCGTGAGCAGTGGTGGCGTGTGCGCTCCATTTGTGCTCTCAACCATCCCCTCCCCCTCCCCCTCCCCCACCATCCCACAAAACCAGAAATTCTGATTTAGGAGGAATTCTGATTTAATGGAAATGTATATGGAGATTCTCAGTCATCCAGATCATGGTTGTCCCGAAGGTGCTTTTTCAAAGGGCAACTGGACTTTGTTTTTCCTTTCATTTCGCTTCTTATCTAAACTGAACCGAAGAAGCTTCTTGGATGAGAAGCGAAACATCTTCAAGGAAAAACAAAGTCCTATTTTGGAGGAACTCTTACCTAAGAGGCTGGGGACTCCTGAGAAGACTCTTTAAGGGGCTCTGGTACTTTGCCATTGGCATCCCCAATCGCCCCCGAAGGAGACCCTACCTCAGCCTCTCCAGACAGCAGCTGCTCTCTTTCCGCCTTGCCGCCTTTCCCATTGATATCTTCCATAGCTATTGAAGGTACCCTAGACTGACGCTTCCCAAAGAAAGTCACAAGAGTCCCACGCCGTGTTTCCCCTTCCCCTCCAGATCCCGCCTGTTGCTCCACGTCCTTATCCAGGCCCGTGTCGTCTGGCAACGTTGCTTGTCCGGCCCATTCTGGGGAATTGAAACTGGTGGAGCCAGAGTGACGGCGGCGCCTTAAGTACAGGAAAACTATGAGGCCTGCAAGCAGCACGATGCCGAAAACAATGGCCAAAATGATGATAGGGTGTTTCTTCTGCCCGGAGCTGGTTTTAGGATTGTCATGTGTTGCACTAGTGCTGGTAAGTGCCACTGAAGTGGTAAAAGGACCAGACGTATAGTGGGTGCCACTCTCGGGACTCTGAGTTAATTCTGGAACAGCTTGATCTGGTGGGATTGGCCCTTTTTTGTCCTCTTTTGCTTCTGTGCTCTTTGTTGTTTCTGGGTAGGCAATTGCACTTGGTGATTGATCCAAGAAGGCCCCTTGGGATCTGGTTCCCACATCCTTCGTTGGAGAAGATACCGACTCGCTAACAAAGTGTGGCGTGACAGTCGTTTTAGAGGGAATTTCCTTCTGCAGTTTGGTTTTTTTTTCCCCTGTAGTTTCCGTACGACGGTCTTTTTCTTTGGTAATGACAGCAACTTTACTTGGCATAGGAGACGAAGTATCTACTGGGACAGCAGTGTTCGTGACAGTGGGAGGATGTACTTCTTGTTTTGAGACTGGAGGTGATGCTTTGAAGGACAGTGCTGGTTGTTGGCTGAGAGTGCCAGGCATTGTGGCATCAGTGTGTGATGTCACAGATGTCGTAGAAATCTCCTTAGTCATCTTAGAAGATGCTGGGAAAGATGTGGCGCTTGCATTTGAACTGGCTATTGCATCTACGTGGGGGGTTACATTTGATGTAATAACAAGCTTGGTTGTATTTTGTCCCTCTACAAGAATATCTGTGGGGAAAAGTAGGAAGACAACAAAGAGCATCTTGTGGCCAATTACGTTCCTGAACAAGGACCTTGATTTTTCCATGGGAGCAGAATTCCAGAGCCCGGGCCCTCTTGGTGTGGAATGGGTCAAGGCTAAGAAGAACTGGGAACAAAAAACATGAAAAGGTTGTAAGAGAAATGCCCTGAAAATTGGTATGCTTAAGACAGAGGAGCAAAACTATAGAATGACCTGAAAGCTTCAATCTGAGAAGGAGAATGGCCTAAATTGGCACTCTTTACCCAAGGATTCTTTATATGCCTGGAATATGTGGAGCAGAGGTGGGTGCTACCGGTTTGCACAGTTCGGTTGGACCAGTAGTGGAATGTTGGCCTTGGTCACAGACCGGCAGCGACCCAGGTTGGCCACACCTCCAAACCAGTTCCCTGGTCACTGCAGCATGGGTTTTTTTTTTGGCATTTTTAAATGTTCTGCACATGCGCAGACCTGTTTACAGGGAACTGCGCACACATGCAGAGCATGCACCAGACACGCGCACTCACCGAACCGGCAGTAACGCCGGCAGCAACCCACCCCTGATGTGGAGATCCATATCCAAAGGTATGGTTTTCCATCTACATTGCAGCCTGCATGTACCATGATGGCCATATTGATGGAAAGAATATAATATACCTCTTACCAAAGGTGGTATTCTGCTGGTTCTCCTTGCTTCGGGCGAACCAGTAGCAACGGTAGTGGGAGGCTCCACCCACCCACCCAGACATCATCAGATGCTCTGCGCATGTGCAGGTTCTGCACATGTGCAGAAGCGTCACGCAACTGAGCGCTCCCAGTTCTGAACTGATAGCGAAGTTTGGAGCATTTCATGCCTGCCTCTTACATATGACAGTTTGGGTAGAGATGAGGAACCATCTCACTCTCGCTCGAATCTTTTGATGCCCCTCCACCCACCCATAACCCGAATGGTCCAAAGGTATATTTCTCCCTACTTAGTTCCATGTCATTTGTGTTTACTGAAGAAGAGACGCCTTACCGATGATTCACAACCCACAATTCAGCCTGAGAAAATGCATTCCAAAATCTCGCAATAAAAATAGGCTTGTGAGCAGAGAGTTCAAGAGTGGAACTGTAATCTTAAAGCAAAGGACAGGAAATCCTCTCTTAAGATCACTGTAAGACATATTTCAGCACTGCAGATGAGAAGTGAATCATCAACAGGACTGTGTGAATTGTGAGTTCTGCAGGAAAGTCTGAATTCTGTTTTTCTGATTGTGGCAAGGGGTGCAGAACTACAGCTTTATAAACCCAATATAATTTAGTCACCAGTGGTTGCATCTGTAAAATGGAACATTGCTTTGGTGTTTAACCAGTGGTGAAATTCAATTTTTTTATTACCGGTTCTGTGGGCACGGCTTGGTGGACATGGTGTGGTTTGGTAGGTGTGGCAGGGGAAGGATACTGCAAAATCCCCATTCCCACCACCCTACTCTGGGGCCAGCCAGAGGTGGCATTTGCCAGTTCTCCGAACTACTCAAAATTTCTGTTACCCGTTCTCCGGAACCTGTCAGAACCTGCTGGATTTCACCCCTGGTTTAGTCCCTTTTCGTGTCGCTCTCGATCTGATAGCCAACCTGCAACTACATGGCTAAAAGACCAGAGATGCAACATGCCCTTTTCCTAAAAGAATATTTGCCTTTCGACCACTAGGTGGCAATAGCAGATACAGCTTACATTTACCCTATGTAAAATGTGAGGAAACAATGAAGTTTGGCAAGAAAGTATTTTTCACCCAAGGATGACAGTGGCTGGAAGCCAGGGCTAACACATATGGTAAACAGGAAAAGATAGGTTTTCTTCTGAAAGAAAGAGGGTTTTAAAAAAAAAAAACAACCCTGTTAGTTCCTTAGCCTCAAGAGTGGGCACAAAATGAGTACCTGCAAGGCCCAAGGACCCAAGAACGACATGTGGAGTTATTTCTTTATTGCAGGGGTGTCAAACTCAAGGCCCGCAGGCCAGATCTGGCTTGTGGAGGTGGTGGTGGGGGCTTAGATCTGGCCCACAGGCCTGCCCTGGAAACAGTGAAGGACCAGCCTGCGGTGTCTATGCCAGCGAAAACAACCTTGTTTTTGGCCATGATGGCCTCCTGGAACCCTCTGCCAGTGAAAATGGAGCTGGGCTTCTCTGGCTATGCCCCACCTGGCCATATCCCCCCATGTCAAACATAACCCCCGATGCGGTCCTCAGTTGTAGGAAGTTTTCACCCACTTGGAGCCAAACCCAGAAGGACATTTCTTTCATCACAGTGAAATTGAGTTTGACACCCCAGCTTTATAATGTTTGCCTATTGATAGAAGTGTCTCAAATGTGCTTCACCCCCACCCATCCCCAAAGGGAACTGGGCTTTCTTTCTTTTTGAGGAAGAAATGTTTTTTTCCTTGAAGAACAAGAGGTAAGAGGTTTTGTTTTTCAAGGGAAAAGCGTTTCTTCCTCAAGAAAAAAACAAACATGTATTCAAGTTGCCTTTTGAAAAGCACCTTTGGGACAACCATCACCTGGATGACTGAGAACCTTCTTAGATATTGACCAAAACCTTGCCAGTCTAAAGCAACTGTGGTGGGTTCCTACCAGTTCGGCCTGGTTTGGCTGAACCAGTAGTGGTTTGGTGGCCTGGGTCGCTGGAACCGGCAGTGACCCAGGCTGCCATGCTCCTGAACTGGTCCTCTGGGTGACGCTGCCATCTTGTTTTTCAGTTCTGTACATGCACAGAGCAATTTCAATTGCACTGCGCATGCGCACGCATCAAGTAGTGCCTGCCAGAACCCACCCCTGATCTGAATAATTACTAGATATTCTCTGTGAATTGCTAGGGAGGGTCTGCCTTCATCCTCTTGTGAATGCCCCAACACTGGAAGTCTTTAAGAAGATGTGGGATAACCATTTGTCTGAAACGGTATAGAGTTTCCTGCCTAAGCAGGGGTTTGGACTAGAAGACCTCCAAGGTCCCTTCCAACTCTGTTATTCTATTCTATTCTATTCTATTTCTGCAAATACTCCAAGCTTCTCTTTCTCTGTGCTCTTTTCCTCCTGCAATTCCAGACTACATCCCACCACAGTTCCTCTATAATTTTCCAGTTTCCCTTGAAGAAGAGTGTGTGTGTGTGTGTGTGTGTGTGTGTGTGTGGGTGTGTGTGTGTGGGTGTGTGTGTGTGTTTTAAATATTATTATTATCTTCAATTCATTTATGGAAGATGAAAGTGGTGACTCCTTATGTTCATTAATGAATGGACAAAGAGACCAGAATAACCTAAGAAAGTTGACCCTTCCATTCTCCACCAGTCAATTAGAACTGAAGAAGCTTCTTGGGTAAGAAGCAAAATGTTTTCAAAGAAAAAAAACAAGAAAGTACAGTTGCATTTTGGAAAAAAAAATAGTGCCTTTGGGACAACCATGACCTGGATGATTGGAAATCTCTGTAGATAACTGACCCTGTGGTTTGAAGTCTTTTTTTTCCTGCTCTTTAAAGGTAAAGGTTCCCCTCACACATTCCCAACTCTATGGGGCGGTGCTCATCTCCATTTCAAAGCCGAAGAGCCAGCACTGTCTGAAGACGTCTCCATGGTCATGTAGCCAGCATGACTAAATGCTGAAGGCACATGGAACGCTGTTACCTTCCCTATTTTTCTACTTGCATTTTACATGCTTTCGAACTGCTAGGTTGGGAGAAGCTGGGAGTGGAAAAATAACAAAGAACTCCTAGCCCAAACCTCACCAAAAAGCCAAGATCACCAAACAGAGACTGTCGAACTTCACTCGAAAAGTCAATCATGCTGATAGTGACCAGTGAAAAAAGAAAAAGGAGCCGCCCTAGTACCACTGGCTGGACACTATAAAGCAGTGATGGCTTTTTTGGATCATGTGCCAAAAGCGGGGGGAGCACAAGGGATTGTTCCTGGACATGCCCACATGCCTCCGAAGGGCAAAAAGGCTCCTGAAGACTCCAGAGGGTGCAAAACGGCCCTATGAGCAAACCAGATGACCGTTCCTGAACTTCTGGTTTGTCCGTAGGGCCAGTTTTTCATGCTCCGGAGGCTTCAAGGAAGCCTCCAGAGAACAAAAACAGCCTTAAAAGAAAGCCAAGGTCAGCTGGCCAGGGCTTCGTGTGCCCTAACAAATGGCTCCACGTGCCACTTGGGGCACACATGCCATAGATTCGCCATCACGGCTATAAAGGATGACACCGGGATGACCATGGCACCTCTGAAGGAGGCAGTACAAGACAGAGGGTCATGGGGAATGCTGATCCATAGGGTGGCCATGGGTTCGACACAGCTGAATGGCTGACAATGATAGTCTGGAAAAAAACAAGGCTTGCTTACTCAAGCCTTGGCAACCAACACTTGGAGGCAATCCATTGCTGCAAAGTGAGTGTAGAGTTCTCCGTCTATTGTGTAATCCTAGCCGCATGGAGGGGCTTGGCTTTGTAACAGAGCCATGGAAGGAAAGTCTAGTAGAGGAGATGAAGGGGGATGAATATAAATGGCAAAGAATCTCTCATAAGTGTTACTGCCACCAATGTTCAGAGAGACTGGAGGTCCTTTAGAACTTAATTGTTGCTAAAGGCTTCCATGAGACCAAACCCAGCATAAAACACAAGGCCATTCGTGTTGGTCTCCCATTTGAACCAGCATCTCCTTCACCCTCTCAGTAGAGTCTCATGTTGGAGGGAAAGTTGAAGGAGGAAAAGAGAGGCGATAGCACCATGTGCTTGTCAGCCTGTAGGTCTGACCTGCAGCTCTTCTTGCTGTTTCATAGGGCAGGAAATTTCCTACCAGCACCACACTCAACACAACCGAATGAGAATTAGGGGGTTTGGAGTATTTTCTTCATGCATGAGGAGGAGAGGGGGTAGGGGAGAGGGGAGGGAGAGGGAGAAGGAGAGGAGAAGAGAGGGGAAAAAGGAGGGGAGAGGATAGGAGGGGGAGAAAAGGAGAGGGAGAAGGAGAGGAGGAGCAGGGAGGGGAGGGAGAAGGAGAGGGGAGAGGAGGGAAGGGGGTAAGGGGGAGGAAGAGGGGAGAGTGGGGAGTGAAGGGGGAGAGGAAGGGAAGGGAGAGGGAGAAAAGGAGAGGAGAAGGAGAGGGGAGAGCAGAGAGGTGAGGGAGAGGGAGAGGAGGAGGGGAGAGGAGGGAAGGAGGAAGGGGGAGGAAGAGGGGAGAGAGGAGGGGGAGAGGGAGAGAAAGAGAAAAGGAGAGGGAGAAGGAGAATGAGGGGAGAGGAGGGGAGAGGGGAGGGGAGGAAGAGGGAGAGATTTATTTTAAGAAAGTACAATAGAAAGCTGGACAGAAGTCCCAAACTATCCACAGGAAACCTTCAACTATAGTTAAAAACTAGGAAAGAGCAAACTTTTGAATGCTCATACACTTTAATGAAGATGTTTGGCAAGATTGCAAGAAAACAGAAACTAAAAAGCAGCTTTCTAGTGTCGCAACTGTTTATCTTTCTCAAGACACTCTCCTCTTCACTTGCTCCTAGTATGTTAAAAAGGCATCTGTCCATTTCTCTTTGCTTAGGAAGTCAGGGTTTAATTTTTTTTAAAGAAAAATTAAATATTATATTTAACATTTGCTCACCATCAAATCGGAATTCTCCCCCTCCTCCCTTCCCACATTTCAGCCTGGATGGGCACTGAATGATGCTGTGTTTTTTTGTCCTTGGGGCAGCCTCCCCCCCCCCCCCGGTGACTTTTATCAAGATCATTAAAACTCCATCAGTACATCTTGCAATATGCACCATGCCAGTGTGCTGAAACTGTTTTGCTGGCAGTAGATCATTAAAATAATAAAAAAAAACACCCAAGTATTTTTGGTTAATAAAAGACAAATCTGGAACAGATCAACATGACTGGAGCATGTAGAGAGTTTTGAAAATAAAGGCCTTTGATTACTCTTGTATAGCCCTCTAAACCAAGGGTCTCCCAGAATTCTGAGAGTCGAAGTCCTCCAGGCTTAAAGTTGCCAAGAACAGGGGGTTGGAGACCCCCTGCTCTAAACACTATATGACTTGCACCTGCCTCAGGGCCAGTACGTTTTCTTATAAACCCACTACCATTTCTTCTTCAATTGGAAAGTCCACCCAGAGGCCAGGAGGCAAACAATCCCCTATAGCAAAAGGGGTCTCCAAACTTGGCAACTTTAAGATTTGTGGATGGTAACTCCCATAATTCTGTGCTGGCTGAGGAATTCTGGGAGTCGAAGTCCATAAGTCTTAAAGTTGCCAGGTGTAGAGACCCCTGCCCTGTAGGAATTATCACATGCAGGTATGTTCTGAACCAGATGAAGCAGCTGATATATGGTCTCTTCCAACAGCAAGAGAAATCTGCCCCATTTTGGCCTGAAATATTCGTGTCTTACCTTCATCTACACATCGTCAGTTGTTTTAAACATCAGGTTTGAGAATTACCCTGACTTGCAAAGCAGAAGGGGCATCTTACAAGCACCAAAAACACTGTCATTTCTGCAACTTGGATTTGGTGACAGAGTGATGGGCTAGGCCATCACATCAGGGCAGGCTTCTTGATCAACAAGGAAGATGCTAGGTGGCCCAACTGGAGTTGTTCCATCAATAAAAGCTGGGCTCCAGAGTAATCCTGATTTGAAGATTGAAAAGTAAGAGGCTTGTAAGGAAAGGAAATTCTTGGAATACAAGGTGATCAAACCGGTCAGTCCTAGAGGAAATCAACCATGACTGCTCTTTAGAAGGCCAGATCCTGAAGATTAAACTCTTTGGCCACCTGATGAGAAGGAAGGAGTCACTGGAGAAGAGCCTAATGCTGGGAAAGACTGAGGGCAAAAGAAGAATGGGACGATGGAGAATGTGGTGGCTGGATGGAGTCACTAAAGCAGTCGGGGTGAGCTTAAATGGACTCCAGGGGATGGTAGAGGACAGGAAGGCCTGGAGGAATGTTGCAATGGGTCGGACATGATTTTGCAACTAACAACAACAAAGGAAATATAGGCAATTAGGATAATGTTTCTCAACCTCAGCAACATGAAGATCTATGAACTTCAAGTCCCAGAATTCCCCAGCCAGCATTGCTCAGAGTTGAAGTCCACATATCTTAACCTAGTAGAGGCTGAGAAACATTGCATCAGGAAACTAAAAAATCAGAGAAGCAAGATAATCAGTCTCACTAAACTAACTGAGCTCAGCTGTCAGAGTTTTTAAGGAAAGCTGTTGATCATTTCTATTTCAGTCTTCAACGGTTCAATTTTTTTCTACATTCAACAGGCAGAGCTCTGTCCTAGCGGTATTACTGTGGCATGTATGGCCGGAAATGATTCAAGTAAAAATCTAGTCTTGCTGTAAGACTCGATGTGAGGAAATCGGTTCAAACGCTAGCGTGGGTTGATGCCTTCCTTGTGAAAGCTCTGCTTTTTGTTGCATGGAAACCCAAATCCCATCAGATGCAGCATCTTATTTACTGCACAACCATTAGTGAGTTTTAGTGCTAGGATTTGGGCATGGGATATATTTGCCAGACTCAAGATCACTACCAGATAAAGAACAGTGAGATCTGTAAGATGTCTGCATGACAACGCTTATCAGTCTGAAATATTTACTTTGTGAAGTGAAATCTCACCTCCATTTTCACCTCCCTACCATATACCATCTGTTCTGGCCACCACATTTGCTTCTGCTTGGACTCAACTTCCCTTCTAATGAAGCTGGTTTTCTGGAAGACCAAGAGAAGATCAGAAGAGTGACTTCTGATCTGCATACCGGCTTCCTTTTCAATTTTTCAGCCCACTAACATCTCTATTTGATATGAGGTAGGGAACCTTTGTGCCCAAACTAGTATTCTCCAGACTGGGTCAGCCTGGTTTTAGATGATGAGACTCAGAGCCTGATTAATCGGAGAAGACCTTGATTGGAGAGGACCTCCCTAGGTTGATCCACATCATCCACTCTGTCAGATCAGGACCCTCACCCACCTTAAAGGAGTTGTTGCAAATCCAAAAATTGAGGCGTAGATACCCAATTACATTTGGTGATCAAGCATTTGGTTGAAGTACAACAAACAAAACCTACCTCTCTCTCCAGTCTAATATGCTCTCCTCCTTCACCTTGACTCCCTGAAACAATTTCCTACTGATATTTCCCCCCCCCCACACACACACATACACATCATTTTGTAGGGACTGAATAAGTATAAGGTGCATCCCACCCCCGCCCACCAACCTACCCTGCTATACCTTCTTCTAGGTTTCTTCAGACAAGGCCTGAGGTTCCTGAGGTTTTCAAGGAACAGTTCTTAACTGCTAATCATCAGCTGCCTCCGTTTCCCCCGTTCTTGCTTGATTGGGCAGGAAGGAGTGAATGAAACCGAGCAGGTGGCTCTGCTGGAAAATGTAGAAAAAGAAGAAGCAACAGTTATATTCATAGAGGAAGTGGCTTTGAGTGGTGGCAATCATGTTAATTCCACCCATTTCTATAGCATCAGGTCTGTGGGACCAATCTGAAGACTTGGATAAGGCATTCTGGGTTGAAAAAACGGGTTCTGTCTTTTCCTTTGCTTTATCTCACCCTTTCTTGGTTTATCCCCAAGACAGACAAACGACAAAAGAGTACTTCTGAGCAGGTACAAAGCACATTTTCCATAGACAAGAGGCCCCAGAAGCCGCTGTGCCTTTTGTCACCTTTTCTGAGCAAAAACAAAAAAGTTAGGCAACTGCACAAAAGTGACACGAAACCCAAGTCGTTTGTTCATTTTGGCCAACTTCCTGTGTTTTTCAGAGACGCAAATTCAGAAGGTGAGTCACTCACAAATACGCAGAAATGCACACACTCGTATACACCGGGAAGTGATTGAGCAAAGGGACCAGAAATGGACAAACAAAAATGCACTTTGCAGGTGGACCTGGATATTTGAGCAACAGGTCCCAGGAAACCAATCCCAAATTTCCAGGTGGGAGACCCAAACTGGTAGGGGCAAGCAGTTAGCAGAGGGAAGACATTTCCGCCTTACCACAGGACAGTCTTGACTGCTCACCAAACAGCAGCTCTGTGTCTGTACGTCTGAAGCACGTCAAGGAAAAGCTGTTATCAACTCTTGCATGTTTTCCTTTTATCATGACTGAAGGGCGGGTCCTCCTCCTGAGTTCCTTCAACAAGGCTAGCAGCTTAGATACTCACCCAAATGTCCTGGTGACTACAAGAGAGATAATGTTTTAGTAGTGCCCCCCCAAATTTCAACACTCTGTGCCAGGGGTGAAATTCAGCAGGTTCTGACAGGTTCTAGAGAACCGGTAGTAGAAATTTTGAGTTATTTGGAGAACCAGAAAATGCCACCTCTGGCTGGCCCCAGAGTGGGGTGGGAATGGAGATTTTGCAGTATCCTTCCCCCTGGAGTGAGGTGGGAATGGAGATTTTGCAGTATCCTTCCCCTGGAGTGGGGAGAGGATGGAGATTTTGCAGTATCCTTCCTCTCGAGTGGGGAGAGGATGGAGATTTTGCAGTATCCTTCCTCTGGAGTGAGTTGGGAATAGAGATTTTGCAGTATCCTTCCCCTCGAGTAGGGAGGGAATGGAGATTTTGTAGTATCCTTTCCCTGGAGTGGGAAGAGAATGGAGATTTTGCAGTATCCTTCCTCTCGAGTAGGGAGGGAATGGAGATTTTGTAGTATCCTTTCCCTGGAGTGGGGAGAGAATGGAGATTTTGCAGTATCCTTCCTCTCGAGTAGGGAGGGAATGGAGATTTTGTAGTATCCTTTCCCTGGAGTGGGGAGGGAATGGAGATTTTGCAGTATCCTTCCTCTCGAGTAGGGAGGGAATGGAGATTTTGTAGTATCCTTTCCCTGGAGTGGGGAGGGAATGGAGATTTTGCAGTATCCTTCCCCTGGAGTGGGAAGAG